TGTGAAGACTGGGGGTTCAGGTTTCCCAAATCCTCCCTTGGGATGCAAATCCCTTAATTGCTATAATCAGGATCCCTTTTGCTGGAGCCTCAGATGCTTCTTTGCTGTCCAGACCATGGTTGTGCCCTTCAAGAGAAGTACCAGCTTCCTGCCTGCGGGGATCTGTGAATTTTGGGGCTTGTGGCTGTGCCGTGAGTGAAACACGGGCCCATGCCCAGCACAGAGTTGGCAGGATGCAGCCTGTTCTCACAGCACCTGGCCAGACACTGCCCTGTGGCAGGCTTGGCTCACTCCAGACCTGGCTGGCCTAGAGCATTCTTCAGAGGTTACTCATGGGACAGAGATGGGCAGAGCTGTTTCCCAAGACACACTTGTCCTCCTCCAGAGCCAGCCCTTCCCCAATTCTCTCATTGCTTTTAGGCTAATTTGCCCCTCAACCTCCCAGGGACAAAACCTCTTCCTCACCTTTACCGTCCCACAGGGCAGAGCACCTTGCAGATAGGACGTTGGCTGTGCTAGTGAGGAGGGGGCTTCCTGCAGGACCCACCCTGCAGAGACACTTTGATCAGGTTTTCAAGGCAACCCTGTGTCTCTCAACAGGCTGGACCCAGCCCTGGTGCGGCCTGGCCGTGTGGATCTCAAGCAGTACGTGGGCCATTGCTCCCACCGGCAGCTTGTCTGCATATTCCAGCGCTTCTACCCCGAGCAGCCTCTGGCTGCAGCTGAGCGGTTTGCGGAGCAGGCGCTGTCGGTCTCCAAGCAGATCAGTGCTGCCCAGGTGCAGGGCCACTTCATGCTCTACAAGATGGACCCTGAAGGAGCCATTTCAAACATACGTTCCATCTTGCTGTGACCAGAGGCCAGCTTTCCCCTGCCACGCTGAGAGGACTGGGACAAGGACATGACCGTCCTGGGGATGCCATGAAGCTGCCCAGCCATGCAGGCCAGGTCTCTGTTCACCTCTACCTCTCTGAGGCCTTGGCTTTTTTATTAAAACACATGGAGAGTCAGAGCTGCCAGCCTTGCAGCAGGGAGAGGGAATCAGCTCCTGCTGCTCCCCTGTCTTGGGTGCTACTGCACCAGCCACGCTCACCAGTGTGTGCCTCGTGCTGGGATTGCCATAAGCTGCCAAGGCTCCTGGATGTGAAACCCCTTCCTTGCGGGGCAGCCTGGGGGTGCTGCAGAAGGGCGTTTCCCTAGGGCAGGACATTGGGGTGCTGCACTGCTGAAGACCTGCTGGTCTTTGAAGGGACAATGGTCTTCAGTGGTTTGTGAATATTCTCTGTGAAGTGGACAACACAGCTCTTGGTTCTCTAGTCCCTTTGCCTGTTTGTTGCCCCACTATCCAGCTGCTGGTCCAGAGCCCTTCTGACCAGGGCCTGGCACAGCCAGTGCTCCAAATCTAGAGTCTTTCAGAAAAAAGCCGCTCCCAAGAGACAGGTGCTCGTCTCTGCCCTGCTGGGCTGTGATGCCAAGTTGCAGATCTGCTTGGACATCATTCCTGGGTGGGCATGACTGTTCCTTCTGCCAGAGGAGGAGATGTGGGGTCCTGGAGCTACTGCAGGCAGGGGCAGATGAGAGGCTTTGGCTGGTTACGAAATACCTTCCCAAGAGCTTGATGTTAACCCCAACGTGAGTTTCTGCAGCCAGGCCAGCCTGGTGCAAGGTGCAGACATGCCTGTTGGACGTGACTGCTCCTCTCTTTCCTGCAAAAGAGGCCCTGCATGGCTAAAGGAGGGATTTGGCCTGCTGTTGGCAGTCTCACAGCCTTTTCCCTGTCACAGGCTTCCTTCCTGCCAGGAACAAAAGTTCTGGATGGTCTGGTAGAGCGACCAGTGCCTGAAATGCAATTGAGAAGTGGGCAGTTCTGTGTCTCCTTCCCAACACCATGGAGCCAGGGGTCAGGGTGTGTGTGCTGACCCACAGAACAAGCCAGCCAGAGCCTGTCCTCTCCCCAAAATCAGGTTCCCCAGGGCCAGCCCTCTGTTCACATCCTCGCTTCAGGGACTGCGTCACCTTGGTGGGCTGGGGGAGCTAGTTCCTGGCCAAACCCAAACCATTAGGTCGCTGCTCAGCCCTCTTGGTTTTGCCCCATGGGGCCAGGAGCAAAGCCGAGAGCGCACGGGGATACGAAGGGCTGATGTCACGCGGCTCCATTTCAGCACCACCGGGAGCTGCTTTGATGCAACTCCAGATGGCACAAATGTTTCTGGAAGTGAAGGGCTGATCCTATGGCCACAGTGGGGGGTGGTCTCCAGTGACTCAGGGCAGCTCCTGGAGCTGGGTGCTGCTGTTGGCATCTCAAACCCTGTGCTTGGCCGTCCTGCAGAGGCTGACTGCTCAGACCCAGCCTTGTCTGACAAAGCTGAGGGACAAAACTGGCCAGTGAGGGACTGGCAAGCACCTCACAGCAGTTCAGGAGGATGGGGGAGTTGTGAGGGAGAACCAGAGGCGACATGGACCCCCACCCTGATGCCACCCACATGAGAGCACAGGCAACATCTGTCACTGCTTGCTTTTAATAGTGTTAATGTTACAGATGCTGCCGGTGCCCTTTTGCCCGGCCCAAGTGCTTGTGCCAGTTAAGCCTCACAACAGCCCTGTGAGGTAGGTGGGTGACGCAGGTGGACACCAAGCGAGGAGTGCTAGGGCAGGGTGCAGGCTCCCTTCCTCCCCTCCAGCTGGAGGTTTGTTTTGTTTAGCCCAAATTCATTTCCATGTGCTGTTGCAAAACATCCTCTGCTCCAGGCTGACAGCAGTGAGTCAGAAAGGTGAAGGCCCTTCCTAAATCCCTACTCCCCAGAAAAAAAAACCTCCCCTCTAATGTGTCTGGCCTTTGATTGAAGTTACTCAAGTCCTTGCTTACTCCGATTTCCACAGCTGAATTCCCACGCTCCAACCACTAGGCACAGCAGTTTTCCTGCTGAGAGTAAGCCTGGCCCACTGGAAGAAGCCAGGGAGCTTCAGCCTCAGTTGCTGTGAGGGTCAGAGATCTTCGTGTTTCTTTCAGGACATCATCAAACACCTTTCTTGGAGCACGGCCATTTCACAAGTGAAGGCAGGAGGCAGCAGAACAGGCACCAATGTCAGATAAAGTTTACAGCTTTTCACCCAAGTGTGGACAGGCCACAGAAACCAGCTGGAACAAGGACAGTGAGCACTGAGGAAAAGTTAGGGCTGTCTTCAGGGAGCAAGTGCTCAGCCCTTGTCCCCAGCAGGGCACAACATCTGGAGCTCAGATCCCCAAGCCCAGGACAGGTAGTGTAGGCTTAGGCCAAGAAGGGATAAAAAAAAAAAGCTTTTAGAGCATAAGGGTTGAAAATAAGCCAGTGTTGGAAATTTAAGTATGGAAGGCTCTTGGGCAGCAGGTTAATCCAACCCCCCCTTTCAGGACAAGGCCAGGCATGGAGAGAGCAGAGCAGCAGGTAAAGAGGACCCATTCAAGAGGGAGCTTCTGTGCACCCTTCACATGCCAAAGGATCAGCCAGGCAGATGCAGCACAAATGCCCTCCTAGCTGGCACACAGCCCTTGGTTTCGTGGGGATCTCACCCGAAGCTCTGGCAAGTCCATCGTGACATGGCTGTTTTTGCACTCAGCAGGAGGAGGAAGACGATAACTCATGTGTGGCCAAAAGAGAGGTGGGGGCACAAGGCACAAGAAAGTGTGAAGGAATTAGTACTGTCTGGCTGAGCCAGACAGCTTACACTGAGGCAGGCAAAGCAAGGACCAGGGAGCCCTCCTGCCACCCGGGAGTGCCAAGGGAAAGTCTCTGCCCTGGCCCGGGTGTAGGAAGCAGGGAGTAAGCAATACCAGGGATCCACACCTTCCCTCCAAACAGCAAATAATAGGAGCGAGAGGGCGGAGAAAACAAAGGGAGCAGGCTCTGGAGAAGACCCAATGAATTAATTTAATAGCAGTGTCTCACTTCAGAAGCTTGGGATTCCCCATCATGGCTCTGGAGTGGGACACTGTTTACATCTGTGAAGCAGCAGCAGCAGGAACTGCACCAAGTTAGTGTAAACAGCAAATCCTCATTTCTTTGAAGCAAGATCAGCTTGAAGATGAAAGGAGGGTAAGAGTATCCAAAGTACAGGAGCATGTCTTCGCTCCGGGCTGTCGGAAGCTCCAAGAGACAGCCTGGCCTTAGAGGGGGATCCTGAGATACAGGTCGCAAAGCAGAATGCTCTGCCCAGGTCTCCCCCATCAGCTTCTGCTTGCACAGAAGTGGCTGATGGACAGGACAGGAGCTCCAGCTAAACTCAGACATCCTAGGTGAGCACGAGCCAACCCAAAGCCTGAGCCATCAGACAGCCCTGACCTGCCAATGTGTTCACTTAGCTCAATTTAGCTCTCCTGGCTGGGACTGGGAAATGTCCTGTTGTACAAAAGACTTGCCTGGCCGAGCCCATCAGCTGAACAATGGCTAAGGCTGCAGGAGAAGTGATGTTGTCTCCAAGGGATGTTGTCCAACAGGGACAGCCGTTGAGAAGGTGCTCTGAGAATGAATACTGAAGAAGCAAGCTGAGCACCAGGCTGCTGCCCTGGCACAGCCTCATCACTTGGCACCACCACAGCTTTGCCAGGACACTGGCTTCCAAGGACAGTCCTGCTACAACTCTGGCTCTGCCAGGACACCATGCTGGGCTCAGTCCGTTTGCTCTGTAGGTGTGCCTGTTTCTTGGCAGCTCACATACAGGGACGATGGCTGCAAAGTCCCCTGTCAAGGCTTCGTCTGTCCCCTGGGTCCTCTGAGACCAAGTCTGACATGATCTGTCAGTAGTCAGCTTCTTCAACACTGGTGACAGCCAGTCACTCATGCCAGGATGCTTCACTCTGCACATACCCTAGAGACGCTATCTGTCCCAAGCTGTGCCACGTGCCAACTGCTTCCTCCCTCCAAAAGGGTATGGTGTCTGCTTGCTACTGCTCCACCAGAGCCTTCACCGTTCTCCCCAGAAACAGCCCTTCCTTCCCCCAGCCCAGCCCCTCACCAGTCCTGCTAGGAGCCACCCTCTTTCTCAAGGAGATGGGCTTCTCGTTGTCCACTGGGCCTGAATAGCCCTCGCCCTCTTGGCGCTCTGGAGTAGGAACCACGCTCCTGGATTCTGGACCTCTCCCACCTTCCACAATCCCAGGGCCTGTGGTGGCCCTGCCAGCTGACAGCTGCTCTGTGGTCGCTGCAGCTGAACGCCAGGTTCTCCTTCTCCCTGCCCTGGGCCTCAGCCCCCTCCTCTGGTTTCCATCTCTCCACATCATGGTGCTCCTCTTTCAAGTCCACTGCCTCTGTTGCTGGGGAAAGGTCTTCAGGGCACAACTCCTTTCTTTCAGCCAAGGCAGCAGCCCTGCTTCTGCTGTGAGGCTTTGGAAACTCCTGGCTCTGTCTCCCACCAGGTCTCCGCACCGGTCTCCGGCTGAAACCCCTGGGCCCCCTGGAGCCATGGAGTGTATGACAGGCTTCCTCTGCCGGTTCCTGCAAGCCACTGCAGGACTGCCTGCCCTGGCCTCTGGGGCCTGGCCTCGCCCCTCTGTGCCTCTCCCTCTTGCTCTGCTGCTCTCTGGGCACAGCGGGCCTCTCAGGCCGCCCAGGTTCTGCCGTGGCCTCCGGCGCCCTGGCTGGCTCTGGAGCCGAGGTTTGGCTGGGCGGCTGGAGCACATCCACAGCACTTGCACTCACCGGCGGCTCAG